ATGATTAAATGATTACCAATAGCATTCGCTGGTTGTAGTCCGCCGGTCTTGTATTTCGGGTGAATGTGCCAAGCGGCAAGAGCTCAACCTTGCGATCGTTGAGTCGTTGTCCCGAGGCTGCGTGGAAAACATCCATGACAGCTTTGAAGCGGGGAATGTCCGCTAGGCGACGTAAAAAGGCACCACAATCATCCGCATACTGTGACGCAGCGAGGTGAATGTCACGCAAACTTATGCCGATTTGTTGATATTGAAGCCAAGTTAGTAATGCTTGTGCTGGCGCAAGGTATAGGATGGGGGCAAGCGGACAGCCTTGCCTGACGCCAGCCGCTATAAGAACCCAGTACGAAAGGTAACCATTGACAATCGCCGCTGATTGCGTACTAGTATGCAGACGTCGAACCCAAGCAATAAAGCCCACACCTACACCCAATTCATCCAGACACGCGAACAGAAAGTCTCTATCTAGGGTATCGTAGGCTTTGTAGAAGTCAAGGAAAGCTGCCACACAAGTACGGCGCTCCATACGGAGAAGCGCGGGCAGCAGTTGTAAAAGGAGCACACTATCCGCGATTCGCCTGCCCGTGAGGAAGGCTGTCTGCTCCGTGTCTATGACGCGGTTAAACAGCGGCAATAGGCGTTGCTTGAGAACACGTGCGAGAGTGCGATAGTCTGTACCAAGCAGCGTAATGGGTCTATAATTTCCCGGCACCGTAGGGTCATCCGCTTTAAAAAAAGAGGAAATAATGCCGTCCAGAAAGCCAGTCGGGACCCTATCTAGTTCCCCCATAGCTGTAAAAACGGCAGCCAGTAAAGGTGCACAGTTTGTACGCTGGTATAATTCCACCGGTATTCCGTCGGGACCCGGAGCACGGCCCGGGGCTGCCGCCTGGAGGGCGGCTTGCACTTCCTCTACTGTAACAACCTGCGCTCCCGCCCTAGCCGCTTCTTCTGGTGAGCACGTCCTACCCCTCGCACGGAGCGCTTGGAGGACACGTGACCGCGCAACTGGGTCAGTATGGGGCTGTGCACCTATTTGTTGCCAATAATCCGCCATGATATTAGGAAGCTGTTGTAAATTGCTACACAGAGTACCATTAGGCCTTCGTAGGGCAGTGATTCTGCGGGTTGCTAAGGGTGGCCTAAGTTGGTTGGTTAGTGCTGGGCTAGGTCGTTCGCCTGTACGTATCCAATTGTAACGGGTGCGTCGTGTGACGCCTGCTACAGCCCGGTGTGCCGCATCTGCCTGAGCCGACCTGGCGAGAACCGCCCGTGGAAGAGCCGAAGCGTCCCCCTCCTCCGCTTCCGCCAGGACGCTGTCGGCCTGGGCTTGGGCAGCAGCCTCGTCTGCAGCTCCAATTAGCTGACGCATGCGTGCCTGTTGGTTTAGGCGGCCAGCTGATAGGGCCAGCGCCCGTTTGAAGCCTGGCCACCATTGGATGAGGTCGTCCGGGTGCGTGGGGGCTGATTCTGCCGTGTTATTTACCCACATATTTAAGTTGGAGCACGATCGCTCTCATAGTAAGGCCGTAACAGAGACACATGGAATACGTCATGAATACGCGTTCCATTAGGCAAGTCCAAACGATAAGCGACGTCGTTAGTCTTGTCCTTAATTACGTACGGTCCGATAAAACGAGGAAGCAGCTTGCGCGGACCTTCAAGACGCATGTGCTGAGTGCTCAGCAACACGACGCCTCCAAGCTTGAACTGACGTTCCGAACGCTTGAGATCAGCGAAAAGCTTCATACGATCACGTTGTGCAGCAGGCTGCTGCTGCTGCTGCTGCTGCTGCTGTGCTTCCTGCTCCTGCTCGTCCTCCTCGCACTGCTGGAGAATCAGCTCCACCTCATCCGCTGCAGCGCCGTGGTTGCCCTGCAAGCCCGCTTTGCCACGGATGTAAACGATCTTCTCCGCCCGCTCAATGGCCAGCCGATTGCGCGCCTTCGTGTAGACGAGGCCCCATGCCGACCAGTTGCGCTCGGACGAGCAGGTTGATGCGTCCATCAGCAGCACGCTTGTGCCAGCCATCTGAGCAGAATGCAGCTTGGCCACCCGTGCGCTGCCTGACCTGCGCCACCTGCGCCTTAACCTTGCTGTAGGCGCGGTCCAGCATTGGCCCCATCAACTGCTTCCGGTTCGGCAGGGTGACGCCCAGCAGCCTGAATAGGTTCCACAACTCAGGCTTCTCGATCAGGTGAATAGGCACGTTGTTCCTGTAGAAGAAGAACATGCCAAGGTCCTCCACGACTTGCCCCGCGAGAGTCGCGGGAATCACCGGGAGGCGGGTCTTAGGGTTTTAGGTTTAGGGTTTTAGGGTTTTTTCTGATCGCCTTGTCATTCTTTATACTGGATTCCCTTGAAATTATTCATCAAAACTACGTAGCACAGCTCGAAGACGCGGCTATAGCCCTTCAAAATACAGCTTGACTGCAGATCTCGACTTGGTCCAACTAATACTTGACACTATCGAAACCCAAATCTAGTGCTATCTAGTACTATTTTTAATATATTATTTTACTATGTACGAAGCGGTACGAGCGTTGTAAACTAGTGCCAGTTTAGAGCCCTGCATAGTATGTAGTACTATTTCTAGTACTATTCTAGTATAGTACTCTTTTCTAGTATAGTACCAGTGATTTTTTTTCATTTAGGGGGGGTCTCAATTTATTCCGACCTAAGTAACAAAGTTGCTAGGGTCGCCGTAATGTATTCCTTAAGAGTGGGGCGCTGGGGGGGCCTACACCCCCCCCAGACCCCCCCCATAAGTTACAACTCCCCTCAAGAGGCACGCACTGCGTTGGCGCGTTTTCGTTCATGTGCGCACTCTTCATGCACATGCATAGATAGTTCTGGCACTGTTTGTGAACAATAAGTAAATCCGACCAAGCAAAGGCCCAAAGCAAGCAACCGCATAGCAAATCAAAGGCCGTCACCCGCCACGCGTCCACGTCAGCATGCACAGGCTGGGCCCAGGGATACCTGGCGGCCCAGGCAATCTGCCATCTGTGGGGATTTTCTTTCTGCTTGTCCCGCCATGCACCGTCGCTCATGCCCTTGCGGATGCGCTGTGTCTGAGCCCGCTTGGCACTGCGAGCGCTCGGGTTGGGCGCCTCGCCGCATTCGTTGTTGTCGAGCTGATTGGGTGACAGCTTGCGCTTATGCTGATCACAACCGCCATGGAAGGCAGGGGTAATGGCGCCCGTGTCATCGGTCGCCGCTGGCAGCAACACCATTGCCGATGCATTACCGACAACAGCACCGCCGTCCCAAACGCCTTTATCAGGAAAAAATTCAGGCTTATCTTGCTGTTTTGGTGTTTGTTCGGCGTTCAAGTCGTTGCCTTTTGCGTGTTTGGCTATGTAAGGACCGGTCATACATTCTGCTATGCCGCGTTGACTCACGGGCTTGACCTTCTTACGGCCCCTCATATCTATTCTATGATCGATAATACTAAGTTCTGCACACTACGGAGCAATCTGGCAGCAATGGACGTTTTTAGCTGGAGGAATGAAAATGTACGGATCGGCCTCAATTTGCTCCTTATTTCCAAAGGCCAAAATGGCCTCTTTATTCCTTAAAAGGAATATATTACTAAAAAAAACACTGTATAGTACCCGTGCCAACCCTACTGATGAACGACTTGCAGGGCATGCAGAAGCTGCACGAGATGGGCCTGGCCACTGATGAGGATGTGCAGCGGATTGCAACGGAGCGGAAGAGGGTTATCTAAGGGGCTTGAGCTGTACATACTTTGATTGCTGCTGTTTTTTTTCTGGGAGAATTTAATTGACTGACCCACGGGTAGGTTACCGGGCTCTCATGTTACAGGTCCATTGACGCTAGTTCAGAGCAAGGCCTCGGTGTAGATGCCATTTGTTGTGCTCGCGTGAATCCGCATCATGTTGCGATTGTGTTGAGCACACCGGAGGCCCCGGCGTGCAGCGGCCAAGGAGCCCCAGTTGTCACGTAGTGAAGACGTGAGGTTGTTATGAACAGATTCACCATCCTCAGGCATGGTCATGTCAACCTCATCATGTCATCCTGCCATGTGCGCAACCAGTCCTCAACCTCCACATAAAGTAGTTGCCCGAGAGCATCATGGCATCGCTTCACCAGTTGCGCAATAGAAAACCCGTCATAGCCAGCTGTGTAGCAATGGCCAGAGAATGATCCATTTCGCTTAGGAATATGTGGAACCTTGCCTTGAGGACACCAAACGCCTGCTCCACACAGTTTCTAGCCTGCAGCAAAACAGAGTTAAACAGATTGCGGTTCTCGTGATCCGCCCGGGTCCCTTCACTATATGGTGTCATGAGCCAGGGCGAAAGAGGGTATCTGGAGTCGCCAATCAGGTATGGACGAGTCGTCAGCATGTGGGTACTGTCGGCCGACTCCCAAGTGAACTCTCCAGACAACATCCCTCCCGCCTGTGCAGCCGCAAACAGACCACCCTCACGCAAAATTCTGGCATCATGGGCAGTGCCCGGATATGCGCACACCACGTCCCAGAAGAAACCAGACCTGTCACAAACAGCCTGAGTGTTGAGCATGCAAGACCCCCTGCAGACACAATAGTAATCCTCATAGCATAGAACACCTGCAGGTTGGGTGATTGGAAAATGCGTGCCGTCAATGGCCCCAACGCATCCTGGCATTCCATCCACTGCAAACTCCTCCATGATTGCGGCCATCCTGGCCGCATCAGGTGCCCCGACAAGATCCCCAAACATTTCTATGATGGCCTAGGAGAACCATTGGACGACTTTGCAGGCCGGAGAGTGTCCAATAGCGAACAGGTTCTCCAAGTTATGGTAGCTTCCACCGTGAGCAAGGTGGTGGAGGGTGACTGCCACCTACAGGAGTGGGGTTAGCTGTAAAGAGGTCAGAGGCCGGGTTGTAGTAGGAACAGCATGACGTCAGGGCCCCAAGGGCCCCACCTGCTGCTCAACAGAGATGGGGTCTCTGAAGCGGGTCACGCTGCGCTGGAGCCTGGGCCGGAGTGTGCTGCAGAGGTCCGCAAAGGAGTCGCGTTCCATCCGGAAGTTGCTCTGGAAAATGTTCTCTGGCCATGCAGACAGCATGAATGTGTTGTACAGATTGGTGGGGCGCGGCTGGACATACCATGGCGACTGGTATACACGAAAGCTGTGAGGATTCGTGTCCACAGTGTTTAAGACATGATTAAGGACTTCAATTGTTGTAACTACCGAGGATGTTCTGCCGTCGTCTGGCTGATAAGCAGCAGGAGAGCCAACAATGCACCGGCGTAGCCTGCGAGGGCTGCCAGGAAAAGCCTACGATCCATATTTTCCTTACAGACCTTGACAATTAGCAGAAATTAATACCTGGTGCTAAAACATTCAAAATACGAAAACCATTTTGGTTTCGGTGCACCTAGTGGAAACACCATCACACTAGCACTACACTAAGTCCACACTAGCCCATAGTGTACCGAAGATAGTGTCCAGCAAAGTGGAAACACCCTGTAAGCATCATGCGTGCACCATGGTGCCACATTTACTAATGCATGTAAATTATTAGGAACGTTATTAGGAACGCAATTTGGGAAGACGTTATTAGGAACGCAATCATTTATTTGCACCCGCCAATTGCGATTTGCAGCTGCAGCTGCTGCTTCATACATCATGAGACCGGCGCTTGGCTCGTGGCACAACAGGTGAAGTCCCTGTCCGATGTCGCAAACACACAGCTGCTGCGGCCGTAGCACAGCCCTGCAGGTGTACTGCAGCGACTGGTCCTACCAAGCTCCAAGCAGATGTACAAGCCACCGGAGGTGTGTGTGGGAAAGATATCGCTCAGGCGGCGGAACGTCATCATGCCGTACAACTCGCCCTTCCAGGTCTTGGGGCTGAAAAGCGGGTAAACTGAAGTACCATTGACGGTGGCAGCGCGTAGCGCCTTGGGCTCCTCGTTGACACAAGTGCTGTCTGTGGTTCAATGCACGCAAGGTTGTGTAATGCATACAAACATTATTATTATTAATATTGGCACAGAAGAGACAAAGCGCACAGCAGTACATGCAGCAGTGCAGTGCATGTGTAGTAGCTGGTACAGTAAGGCACACATAACGTCTACAAATACGCGCTAAACGCTTCACCAGCATCTCAAGAGGCCTTTTCAGCGGCCAGATACTACAGCATGCAGCAATGCAGTGCATGCAGCAGAGGGTGGGGTAGCTAAGGGCAACCAGGTAGGCAGCATGTTTAGCAAAGTCATAGCATGCTAGCTAGCGGATTCACATCGGTATGAAATAATAATAATGATGGATACATACAGTGTACGAGCCTAGCTCAGGACTTCCGAGTAAGGAATCCATCCCTTGTCATCATTTCACCGTCAAGGCAAATATTAAATATCGTACACGCAGGACATAGAAATATCTTTCGTAATCCTTGCAGTTATAGCCGTACTCAGCAGTACATGGCCATGGCCATGGCTGCAATGGCCAGACCTGTGTCGTAATACTTCACTGGAAGGTGCAATTCTCTTACGCAGGAATCTCTACTATCGTACAGCATCTCATCCAAGCCCTCAGACGGACTGCAAGCAACTATAAAACCCCAAGGGAAACCCCCCGGTGTTTATCAACACCTTCACAGTGGACTAGTCGCTAAATCTGTCTAAGTGACCAGGTAGCCTCCCACATACAGAATAACATCAGCAAATACCAGTAGTAAACGACGGGACACCGTTTGCCGTATGAGACGCTGATATAATATTCCTGAATAATAATCACTGGAAGACAGAAGTCAGTTTGGATTCGGGTGGGCAGTGTCTACAAACCATCTACTACACTTCAGGCCTGCGAACCTAGTTATGGACCATTCTAAGCCACACGTATGTACTATCTATTTAAAGGCCATTTATACCTATTCTGGCATGGTCTATGTATAGACCGTAAATAATTTTACAGATGCTCAATCCGACGTCCGAACAAACTTCTGCCTTCCACAAATACTTATTATTATCATTCCCTATGGCATAAAACGGGGGGTAACCCCTTAAGCATAACCCCTTATTCGTAACCCAGGTGGCAGGGCCAGGGGTAAGTGGTTACCCATGTGGGTATATACGAAGGGAGGCGAGTAACCTAACCCCGGGGTAGGGGTAATACACTACCGAGGGGTTACAGATAGGGTACCCCATGTTTGCAAGTGTGCCTCGACCGAACCCGGAAGCTCCGGCAGGGGACGTATGCTGGTGTCAATGGCTTGTAGGACATCCCTGTCTCACCTGCCTACATATACATGCACAGCTGTCACATCCGTCTATGTGAGCACATATGCCTGTCGCGCCTGTCTATGTGAGCACACATATGTGCATGCCTCTCTATACACTTCCATCCATGCCTGTCTCGCCTGTCTACACATACAAATATATATACTGGCATGTAGGGTTTGGCACCACTGGTAAGGCGCGACCATTGCCCCCGGGAGATCCATCGATACCCGTTAGGGTCAAAGTCCTTCAGATGGTGGAAGGTATTGCGCCCCTAATTGTCAACATTGCCTCACCAACATATATTCTGGTACCACATTTGTACATGAGGCCCATAACAACATGGCTTTTAAGGTAATTAACATAAAGCCAGCAAATGTAGAAGTTATACATGCATAATAGGTGTGTGTTTTGATAAAAAAAAGGCCCCACGCTTACGACATTGGGGCTCATGCGGCAGAAGGCCTTTTGCCTAGGCAGGCAGCTAAACCCCTCTGGTCGGTAGGGCCATGCAGCAGCAGCAGCAGCGCAGGAGGAAATGGAAAATGCACGGTTCTGCAACTATATACATATTATGAATGCGGTAGCCAATACACAGTCGTGAACCTGATAATCAGTTTTAAAGTACAGGGCCCTGTACTTTAAAACTGATTATCAGCAGGCCCAGGCCTGCTGCACGTGTTTGCATGGGTAGCATAGCATGTACATAGCTGTACTGTAGCAGCTGGCCGCTGAAAAGGCCTCTCGAGATGCTGGTGGTCGCGCTATGCGCGTATTTATAGAGCCGTAATATGTACCAGCTGCTACATTCCCACCCCTTTGAAGGGATCCGTCCCGGGCCCTTAGAGCCTCGTATACCACCAGCCTGTGCCTACCTTCACCTACCCTCGGGCAGTGGGTGGCCAATCCACGTCACGTCATGTGCCGGCCTCATATGTGCCTAGTCGTCTTCAGGTTTTTAAGGCACAGCGACAGTCCAGTCGGTTCAGCTACATTTTTATTACTCGCGCTTATTGCTCACTGAGTCGCCAAACCCGATATTCCACTCAAGCGTGACTGGTGGGGATTGAACCGACGACTTCAGGATCGTAAATCCTCGATACCAAATGTAGGAGCTGGCCACTGAAAAGGCCTCTCGAGATACTGGTGGTTGCGTTATGCGTGAATTTATAGAGCCGTACTGTGTACCAGCTGCTACATGTACCCACCCAACTAGACGCGGGCTTGCCGCCCGCGAGGGGGGTCGTAGTTCCCCATGTCGCGATTGGCGAAGTTGCGAGACACGTGGTGGCGCACCACCTTGGGCGGTGCAGGGCATGCGCCGCCAAGCCAGGGTACCAGCGTCACACGCGGCACGGCGCCAGTGCACATGATGTTAGCACGTAAGATGTCCACGTTGGGGATCTCCACCAGTTTTTTTGGTAATGTATTAGTTTTTTGGGAATAAATGGGGGTCTGAGCCTGGAAGAAATGGAATAATTGGTCAGTTGGCCGTACTGGTTCATTACTTCGGCCATAAGTCGCCCCAAATGCCTTCTGCACATATAAAGCTGAACATTTGGAGCTTATACACTATTTATGTATAAAATATTTGATGATATCACCATGAGACGGCCCGCTGTTGCATTCAACTTAGGTCAACGGGGCATTTGTTCATTCTTGACCAAAGCAAACGGCTCAGAAAGTCCGCAGACGCAATGCCCCCAAAATTTAGAAGAAGAATTAGATAATACAGAAGACAAGGATAGGCATGCCGTAGTTGCCGCTCTTGAAGTCAGTGAAGCCAGCGATTTGATTGAAGCTGAGGATCCCCCTGCGAAGCGGCAACACACAACTGCAGCAATCAGCAATTCAGCTGAGCAGCTTGATTCTGACGAGGAAGGGCCACCGCCCCAAGATGTCGCCACGGCACCACCGCCACCTTCAAGGGCGGGTGCTTCACAGCACGCACCGCTGGTGATTCAAAAGCAGGCGCGGCGCCAGCAAACACAGTGTGTGCCAAAAGGCCAAAGCGATGAAAAGCTGGCGGGAGAATAAGGGAGTGCGTCGCTTCCAGGCGCACTGGACAGCTTTGTTCGAATGGGTCTCGACTCAGATGACGGACCTTGCTCCACACATCGTTACCATCCACTGCATGGCTCACCGGACGCAGCTGGCAGTCGGTGCCCTGGAGCAGGCGGCAGTCATCAGCACCCTAAAGGCACTGGTTCGGGTCATCTACAGCCACTTCTCGAACAGCCCCAAGCGGCTCTTGGCCTTCGAGGCCGCTGCAGAGGAGGCTGATACCGCTGGAAACCACCCCCTAAGGGACATAGAGATCAGGTATGCTAAGCCGAGGATATATGGCGGGTAAACATGAGGGCTGCAAGGGCTGCTTAGAACCTGCCTAACGTCGTTTGCTTTATACTATTAACACCACCTTACTGTTTGTTTCTGCCGCCCCCGCAGGTGGCTGAGCCTGCTGCTGCCGCTGCAGCGTGTTGTGAGTACGGCGCCCTGCTGCTGTACATGGAGGAGGCAGAAGAGCAGTTCATCTTCACCCAGATGACGGACGCCCGCCTGTACCTGGCCATGCACACCTTACTACCCGCACTGCGGTGCACCAACTTCTTCATCAAGCTCTGCTTCTTCATCCACTTTCCATTCTTCGTAAAGAATCGGGAGAGTAACGCTACAGGAACGTCCATATAATAATAGGACACGGGGCTCCGCTCGTCAAAGTAGACTTTGACGTGGTGGCGTTAGTAGAACCAAAACTAACTCCAGAAAAGCTTTAGGAAATTTATTAAGAATACGGTGAACCCAATGATAAGAACAAGTGGAACCTTGCGGAACCGAACGCAATCGATCAACGCAGCGATCACTCATGAAAACACCAAGAGATGCAATGGAGGCTCACTCTAGGAACCAGGATTCCAAGGACAAAGAGGTTCGGCAGGTCAACTCGTCGGGTCAAGTCAAGTCGCATGTCGCACGAAGTGCATTTTCCACAGGACAACGTATTACAAGTGACCGATTGTCTCCGACACTGTCACATTGACATGCACTGCACGGTGGTGGCCTGGTGCGGCTGCAGGACCTTAACTGCAGTGATGGTGGGGGAGCCACCCTGCGGCAGCATCACTCCTGGGCCTGCCCCGTGGCCCTGGGCACGGTGGGCCAAGTTCAATTGCAGATGGTTGCTTGGGTGAGCCGAGCAAAGCTCTGGCTGATGCAAGCACCACCCTCTTGGAGGGCTGTGTGTAGGTTGTGGTAGTGTGTCCTGAGGTGCCTGTGTAGGCGACCTCCCCCGAGTCCTACTTTATAATTTTCTGGTGCAGTTGTGATGCGTCGCTGCTGCCCCCTGTTTGGTAGTGGTGTCCCGCTGGGTGTCTCTGCATTTTTGGGTGTTCTGCTGGCGGGCTGTAGCTACTGTTCACTTTCAGTCATTGTGATGCGGGGATGCATTGTACCGACCTTGCACGGGGTCCACTGTAACTTTCATTCATTCAGTGTATGTGAAGAAGTGCATGAATTCTCGGTCTTAGAGGGCATTGCGTTATGTGTGTAGTGTAGGGTGTGCAGGATTTCACACGCAGCGCAAGTCGTGCGCCTGCCAAGGATTCACACAGCAGCCCTGGCCAATCATCAGATCACACGCAGCACAAGTCGCGCGCCTGCCAGGGATTCACACAGCAGCCCTGGCCAATCATCAGCCTGTGACAGCTGCCGCCACTTCAAGGCGATTTGCTTTGTGTGCTCGTGAGGCAGGGAGCTCTGTCCAGCTGCCGCTGCTTCTGATGGGGTGTTACACTGTGGGTGGCTCATCCCGAGAGAGGACGAGCACCGGGGGCCCTGACTGGGCCGAAACACAGGGGCGGGCGTGCGTGTGGCTCTACGTCCGTCTATTCCTCCGTGCACGCCTCACCCCCTCACTCACGCCAACCGGGGCGCTGTCCCAGCCCCTGGCTAGGCAACACAGCGGACACAGAAGACTGCGAACCAAACTAAGCGAGAGCCGCACGAGAGGTGCCACGCTTCTGCCTTCTGTGATTGCGCTAAACATGTACCCGTTTGGTACTGCTGAGGCTTTTCTGCTTGACCATCCACGCTCTTCTCGCACGTGGGTTTGTGACCTTCACAGCTGCTCCTATATCTGTTACCGCAATCGTGCTCGCTGCCATCGGAGCGGTTACCTTTCGCTAGTACCCATACTTGCATGAAACACTCTTATATCAACCGAGTCTAATACAATGACCAGCAGGGAATTTGACAAAGTGTCCTGCTCTTATCCAAAGTCAGACCTGTGCCTAAACGCGAACGTAAAGGCACAATTCTTTGTCAATATGTTTTTCGTTAAAAGTCTTACTTATAACACTCGTAGAAATTGCGAATACTTGAGTTTTTGGTGCTTATGTGAGCTCGAATGGGCGGGGGACCGGAAGGCACATAAATTAGGTCCCCCGCGGGTCCCTCGGTCGTACATTCCGGGTCCACGGGCCCTAGATATGCCCTACATAGCTGCGTTCGGGTGTGTTTGGGTGCGTTCGGGTACATTCACGTACCTTCCGATGCGCGTTGAATTGCGTGTTGAATTGCGCGTTGAATTGCACGTTGAATTGCGTGTTGAATTGCGTGTTGAATTGCGCGTTGAATTGCACGTTGAATTGCGCGTTGAATTGCGCGTTGAATTGCGCGTTTCGGTGCGCTCAACTTTCAGCGTTCCCATCCCTCTTCGTCCTTCATGTGCATTTGCATATACAGCATATATTTCGCGTTCGGTGCGGTCTACTTCCAGCGTTCCTATCCCTCTGCGTCCTTCATTTACGGCGTTCATTCCTCCTTCCCTATCCTTATCTGTTCTTCCCTATCCCTCCCTCTCCTTCCCTATCCCTCCCTATCCCTCCCTCTCCTTCCCTATCACTCCCACACATAAAAACATAGATACATAAACATAAACATAAGCATAAACATAAATAAACATAATAACATAAAAACGTAACTGTGCTGGGGACCGAACCGGTGACCTCGCGTTCTTTACGGCCCTGTCTCAAACTCGTACGACACTTTCCCGACCCGGAATTTCCGAGATAATCCAGGTTCATATCCGGATCCAGTTCGCATTCAGAGACACACGCAGAGAAATGCAGATCGAACGCAGATCGAAACTCGGGATACTCCTCCGCTCATAACTCCGCTCATAACATATGAGCTACGGCGACCGACTATCGTCGGTTCACGTCTATGTCGGAACTACGACGATCTATCGATTACTCATTTATTCTACTCCTGCTCTTCATGTCCCGGCCAAATTTACTTACTGACGATAAACTCGAGTCTGTTAATGTTCATTCCCGCACAGGGGCTGTCGCTGCTATTCGTGGCTACCAGGTGGAAGCAGTAGGTGGCGGTGGTGGAGGTGACGTTCAGGGGCCCTGTTGGCGTTGATGCTCGGTAGGGTGTCCGCAGGTTAGTGTCACGGACACTGCAGGACGCGAAGAAGGGGAAGTTGTCCACAAGGAAGGTGTTGCCCCCGCCGAATGGGGTTGGGGGTGAGAGCTGCGGTGCCTTGGGAACCTTGGGGGGCTTGGGCGCCTTTGGTGGGCTGGGAGCCTTGGGCGCTTTTGGTGGGCTGGGCGCCTTGGGGGATTTAGGGCTCTTGGGAGGCGGTGGGTGTGGAGACGGCGGGGATGAAGTACGTAAGATAGGCGGCGGTGAGGCGGGTGGTGGTGGAGATGGTGGTGGTGGAGATGGCTGTACAGATGGCGGAGATGAAGGGGGCGGGGAAAGGGGCTGGGTATGAGGAGAGGGGGGCTGGGAGGTTGGAGAGAGCTGCACGGGTGGAGGTGGTGGTGGGGGGAGCAGGGGCGGTTGCGGCCTCAGACGAGGTGGTGGCGGTGGCGGCGGAGATGGTGATGACGGGCTGGGTGGTAGGGGAGGAGGAGGGCTCGGTGGGGAGGGCGATAGTGGGGAGGGCGATGGTGGGGGAGGCGATGGTGGGGAGGGCGATGGTGGGGAGGGCGGTGGTGGAGAGGGCGATGGTGGGAAAGGCGATGGTGGTGAGGGCGACGGTGGTGAGGGCGGTGGTGGGGAGGGCGATGGTGGGGAAGGCGATGGTGGCGAGGGCGACGGTGAGGAGGGCGGTGGTGGAGAGGGCGATGGTGGGAAAGGCGATGGTGGGGAGGGCGACGGTGGGGAGGGCGATGGTGGGGAGGGCGATGGTGGGGAGGGCGATGGTGGCGAGGGCGACGGTGGGGAGGGCGATGGTGGGGAGGGCGATGGTGGGGAGGGCGATGGTGGCGAGGGCGACGGTGGGGAGGGCGATGGTGGGGAAGGCGACGGTGGGGAGGGCGATGGTGGGGAGGGCGATGGTGGGGAGGGTGATGGTGGGGAGGGCAGTGGTGGGGAGGGCGATGGTGGGGAAGGCGATGGTGGTGAGGGCGATGGTGGTGAGGGCGATGGTGGGGAGGGCGGTGGTGGGGAGGGTGATGGCTCCGGGCTGGGTGGCAGTGGAGGAAGTGGAGGTGGAGGGTTAGGGGGAGGCGAACAAGGGCAGTAGCTCATGCCGAACTTGACATAGCCCCAGGCATTGGGGGAGTCCGGGCAGATGGGGTTGGTAGCATCATTGGCAGCCACCCAGTCAGTTGCAATCCAGGCGGGCAGTAAGCTGGATGTATTCATGGGCAATATGCTTGTGGCAAAGGTTATCAAGTAAAACGTAACTTCTTGGCACGGAGAACTATCAACCACAAGATCAGCTACTAATATCCCTAGTGGGGTCGTTAGGTTTTGGCCCGGCCAAAATTGTAGCAAATCACCAAAGTAACTTACGCCGTAGCTTATATCACGACACCCGGTGCTGCCACTATACATGCTCTGAAATTGGTCCTCGGTGAAAATGTTTCCGTACAGCCCGATGGTACTATCTGGCTGCCATTCAAACACGAGGCTTGGAAGGCCAAGGGCAACAATTGGTGAATCGATGCTGGGGTCAGGTTGAACAGAAATAAATGCCGGGCTGAGCTCCTCCCCGGTCCAGCTGGAACGAAATGGGGCCCTGATACCCGACACTGGTACACCTTGGCTGGTTGTCAATACGACACCACAGGATGGTGCAGGCGGCATAGGTGGCGGAGGTGGGGGACTTGGCGGCGGGGGCTGAGCCGGGCAGGGGCAGTAGCCTATGCCGAACTTGATATAGCCCCAGGCAGTGGGAGTGTCAGGGCAAATGGGGTTGGTAGCATTATTGGCAGCCACCCAGTCAGTTGCTGCCCAAGCGAGGCTGCCATCGTTCAATCTGGACAGGGCCACCAACGAGTAGAATGTGGTTGGGGGCCCACAGAGTTGAATCAAGCTGGAGTAGTCGGTGCGTGTAGTATAGAAAATGGGGAAGGTGAGTATTGTTCCATTGCCCACTTGCCCATAATAGCGCATTGGATTCACGGATGTGATTGGTGGAACACAGCCTGCATTGCCGTTGTATGTTGCATTAAATTCGGCTTCGGATAACAGGCCAAAACTCATCGTATACTGATCTTGTTGTTCCCAGCTTATCACGATGTTTGCTGTTCCATTGAAGTAAAATCCTGCATTGTTTCCCGTATCCATAACCTGCAAAACATACGCAGGCCTGATCTCCTGGCCCGTATCCGCTGCAAGGATGGGAGTCCGAATAGCGCTGACAGGGACACCATCATGGTACAGGACGGTCACCGGACCACAGGGGGGTACGGGCGGCATGGGGGGAGGGGGCGGTGGTGATGAGCTGCCGGCTGCTTCCATCTGCACACTCAGCAGCAGCACCACCGGCAGCACCACCAGCAGGATGTTTGTGGTATTGGGCAAGCAGAGCCTCCTCAGCTGGAAGTATCGGTGGAAGCCACAGTTAGATGACCTTTGCCTGGGATCTGTCGGCAGGCTGCAGCAGTCATAGTCCCACTGATGCTGGCGGCGGCTGAGGCGACTACAGCTCATGCTATTTTCCGCGCCTTAATGACGATGTGTGCCCATTACGACCTTCAAGGTACTGGCGAACATTGGTAGCTGCAATGTCTTCACTCTATAATCCAGCGGCTAGTTAATTGTTGCTCTTGTAGTTCGCCTGACTTGTTACACCCTGTACTTGATTACTGCACTTACTCACATAAGTGGCTCGATGTGTGTGTATTTCAATTCATTCAGTGTAGTACGGATGCGTGTATGTACAGGCTGCCTCAGCTAGCTACCCTGGCAGCAGCCAAACAGACGAGTAGCTAAAGCCAATGTCGGTGTCACTACTTCCCCAGCAGTTAGCCCTGCGTGCTGTACATATTGCAGCAAATAAAGGGTAGGCAGGCCTTCAGGGAATTAAGCTAACCACGTATGCCAATAAAAAGTGCATAAAGGAATGGTCTACACATGAATGAAGGCCAGGAGACAAAATGGAGACATATATGTGCAGATGGCCTCGTGAGCAATTGCCCATATTGCAATCATGCATGATTGCTGTTAGCAGGTGTTAGTAATCTTTCTTCTATCTGCTGCTCAAGCGACATATGTTCCGCATACGTTCCGTATGTTGTTACAGGATGGTATAGCTTCACCAGCGGTCCCCTTTCCTGAGGCAGTTCCCTGCTCTCCCCTGCGAGAGGGGCACCCTAATCCTTTCACATCCGACTTCGGAATGAATTCGTTGGGTTCAGCAACTCACCACCAGCATCCAACCAAATCCAGTGGATCAACAGTGCCTCAGCTTAGTTCCCGGTCAGCTCACAAGTTGATATTATTACATCCTACACCGTCCACAAGATGGGCTCCCATTTCATCACTCCTCAAACACCCGAGGAGACGACAGGCGGATTTGAACCCGGGCATCCGGATGCTCCGGGAGCAGAAGTCAGGCCTTAATTTCTGCCAGCCGCATCCGTATGCATCCGTGTGCATCTGTATGCATCCGTATGCATCGGTATGCATCCATTCCGCAGTAAAGTACCTCATCGTTGTTGATGAAGGTAATGACAGCAGGAAGGTGATGAATGCATTAGGTTATGTATGCAACAGAGCGGCTTGGTTTATGGCAAAATCAACTCAAGATAGGGAGCTCCTTATCTGTAGTATCTTGGGTACATCACCCGGGATCTGCATCCACCGGTCGGTTCTTTCCTGAAAAGTCGTAATATAACACTATCTTACATACTATACGACGGTATACATATATGTTCAAGAGAACAAGCAAATTGCTGCTGGTGGCGGCATAATATTAGACGGCATAGTTTGTAGTAGCTGGCCGCTGAAAAGGCCTCTCAAGATGCTGGTGGTAGCACTCCGCGTGTATTTGTAGAGCCGTACTGTGTACCAGCTACTACATAGTTTCAGACGTACGAGGAAGTATGATGCATTATACTTTGTAATATATGATGCATTATACTTTCCATCATATGATGGCAGAGCTTTGGTGATCATTCGTTCCCTGCTCTCATCATAAGCCTCTCTCTGCTCGAGGATGCTATGTACGATGTGTGGGACAGGGGGGCATATCTTCTCACCCATGGCAGCTACCCGGCGAAATCCTGCCGTCCCCACTATTTCGGAACACCCTCATCTAGTCACCCTAGCCAACTTCTCAGTGGATAGCTAAGGTTCCGCACCCACCACCAGCATCCAACAGAATCTGCCGAATAGACGGCGGCTCAACTCCTGGTCGGCTCCCATGTCAACTTTATCACTACTGGTTAGACACGGACCATTGCCCCCCATTGCCCCCGGGATCGTGACCTGTCAAGGTCGAAAAGTCCTTCCCATGGTGGTGATCACCACCGTCCATCAACTAGGGGTACTTTACCCTCCACCATGGGAAGGACTTTTGGAAGGACTAAGGCACTGATTGGGTCGGTTACCCATCTTCAACCCCCGCTAGCCCTTGTAAGGTCCTACACAGTTCCTACCCAGCAGGAGGAGTAACACGGCCCCAGGGTAACCCCCTCCATTGCCCTGGACTATGGACATATGTATGGGCCTATAGGCTACTCGTCTTATATGCTTCCCACATCGTAAATTCCGCTTAAGGATACTTTTAAAAATGTAAGCGTTAGCAACCTACAGTATCGTGGTATCTCAGGAAGCATCGTTCGCCATTTCAACCTTAAGGTCTCTAATGTTGGCATCACACACGCAAGGAATAAGCAATTAGTACCTATCTCTTGGCCTGTTTGTTTGGCTGCTGTAAAACGGGAGCTTGTAGATGAGTACAGGAGAAGGTGCGAATGCTGGGAGCACACAGGCAAGTCAACTACAGGTCTTCACTAAATGGATGCCTTTGGTTGTCATCCATTGTTGTTGTTGTTACAGGATGGTTAAGCTCCACCAGTGGCCTCCTTCCCGAGGCAATTCCCTGCTCTCCCCTGCTTGAGGGGCACCCTGATCCATTCACCCCATCCGACTTCAGAGTGTACTCTTTGAGTTTGGCAACTCATCACCAGCATCCAACCAAGTCTAGCGGATCAACTGCGCGTCAACTTAGTTCCTGGTCAGCTCGCAAATTAATTTTATCACGTCCACAAGATGGGGGGCCACCTCCCATTTCGCCACCTCTCAAACACCCGAAAGATCGGCAGGCGGATTTGAACCTGGACACTCCGGAATCAGAAGTCAGGCCTTAACCTGACTCTGCCAGCTGCCTGCCTTGTTATGTAATTGTTCTCATTATGAAAACATCAGGCAATCAGTCCTGATGTCGGCCGACATATTACCGGCCGGGGGTGGTCGTACACATATGTGCATGCTGCTTTGCCTCCATTGATACTCCTACCAAGCACATTCAAGCTTAATCACAGCTAATTAGCTTGTAAGCTCATATAATGCACACTCTTGGCTGGTCTTTTAATTAGGCGGACATGCTAAAATAAGTGATGACCACTATCACGAATATATATTCACCATATTCACTGTCAGCATTGTTCCTATTGACCATACATACAATGCACACATATAATCCACGTTGCAATACTGGTGTGTATGGCGGCAAAAATGGTGGCGTTCTATTCACGCGCAGGGACCACCACAACAAGACCGTTGACTGTCTTTCTGCAGCACAGGCCCACACTTAGGGTGCACCTCATTTAGCAAGATATCCAGTGACATCCGAGGATTTTACCTGGAAGGGTGCCTTACACTTCGCCGGGTGTGACCGTGTTCAGGGTCAAACATTCGGATCTCCCACCCAAGACCCTCGATGCTCTTAGGAGAGCCTGCTCTGAAAACGAGCAGACTCTGGATAGTGTTGCATAGGTCGTGCGTAGAGCTGGAATTAGCAGGTCGGGACGGGGCACTTAAGCTACTGGCCGACCTTACATTGCCGCCCGTTGGCTGGTCCGTGAGTTTTAGGTCTTGGGTCCGGAGCGATGGTGAGTGCCTGGACCTTTTGATAGGAATATTTATTGCCTTCGCTGGCGGCTTCTCGTGGTCCCCAATTTGCTCTGCCTATGTACGCCTGTTCGTCCGCCTCCTTGCATCTAGGCTGCAGCTGTGTGCCTTATCCTTAGGTTTGGGTTTCTGTAACACAGCAAAGGCGTAACCCAGGATGCTCAGATTGGCATTTGCGTCGTTACAGTGCCCCCCAATTAGCAATGGACGTCCTCAGCCATTATTTCAAACACAGAAGCCATCCCACCTCGCGCCAGTGCGCTGGTTTATCCATTACACCATGAAATCGCCAATTTGCGATCTGCTGGTTACCAGAATCGAACCGCCGGCCCAAAGTTTGTCACAGAAGTCATGCAGTCCCGTCTCGATACCATAGTAACACAGCTAAGGCGTAACCCGGGATGCTCAGATTGGCATTTGTGACGTTACATTTTCTAAACAAGGCATGTTTTGGTGCGGCAACGTTGATAATTGGGCATTCACAAGTGATTGGTGAAGACATGTATGTTTGCGTGTGTAGATAGGCGAGACAGGTGCAGGTGAATGTAAACATGGGTTACCCTGTTTGTTACCCATCAGTAGTGTATTACCCTGCCCCCTTTGTGCAGTAAGAGGTTATCCCGGGGTTAGGTTACCCACCTCCCTTCATGCATAGCCACATGGGTAACCCCTACCCCTACACCCTGGGTTACACTTAAGGGGGTTTACCCCCCGTTTTATGCCATTATAATTACTGGCAGGTGACTGTAACACATCAAAGGCGTAACCCAGGATGCTCAGATTGGCATTTGCGTCGTTACATTGCCCCCCCCCTTAGCAATGGACGTCCTCGGCCATTATTTCGAGCACAGGAGCCATCCCACCTCGCGCCAGTGCGCTGGTTTATCCATTACACCATGAAATTGGCGATTTCATGGTGTAATGGATAAACCAGCTCATGCTGGTCATGCTGGTTACCAGATTTACCAGGTTACCAGAATTTACCAGATTTACCAGGTTACCAGGTTACCAGAATTACCAGATTAATCGAACCGCCGACCCGAAGTTTGTTACGGAAGTCGTGCGGTCCCGTCTCGATACCATTGTAACACAGCAAAGGCGTAACCCGGGATGCTCAGATTGGCATTTGCGTCGTTACAGTGACTCAAAAACAATTCCTAGTGACCACCTTCTGAAAGGGAATTATTTTCTTAGTAACCACTTGGTCACTAGTAACCACTTTTAAAAACACTGATCCTGGGCATATCACGGGATCTGCATCCACCATCCGGTTCTATCCTGAACAAGCTGTGTTGGCTTCCTTGAAGCCGGAAAAAGGGCAGGGCCCCTCTGCATCCGTACAGGCAGATAGCTAAGGTGGCACGTGTGACAATTGATGGGTAGTGTCAACGTGGTGGGAGCTGTGCTTGTTGCAGCAGTGCTGATGCTGTGGGAGGTATGCTAGTCATAGTGTGGGAGGCAGGAAGCCAGGGCTCATAACCTGTTGAAGAGACGGTGTCTCTCTGGAACCTAGCAGACATGGCTAAGAGTCATTGGCCGTTACACGTAGCCTGGAGGTCTGCGACCTGCCACCGACAGCCCCTTGCTTGGGCGTAAACGTATGAGTCTGAGTGCCATTACTGGCACACATCAGGGGCTCCACCGCCAAGTCCGTGGTCCAGGCCGGCTGCTCAATGCTCAGCAGATCGCAGCTTGCCAGCCTTCAGCCTGTTGGCTTTGGGGTCTGGTGCTGCAGCCATAAGACACACGGAAAACAGCGCAGTACAGTATTGTATGCACTGCCTACGGTGCCCCTTCAGGCATTGGCCTGCCCATTCGGGCGCCTGCTCACGCGCCCTTGGCAGCCCCCTCAAAGTCTAGCTCGACACACTTCCTGAAAGCCCTCAGCACTTTGCCTATGACGTCGTTGCATGTCCCCTACATTATAGATCCATAAGCAAACGGCATGATCCTTTATGGGTTGGTTCCTTCATGCTCGGGAACTTTAGACTGACCCATGGCAACGCTCTAAGCACCTCCCTCCTGGCGTCTAGCTAGTGCCTGTTTGATTGTTGTCCTTCTTATTCTCTTCTTCATTCATTCAATCCAAGTTCAAACAAAGTGTGCCTTTGCGACACACCATCAGCTTTGCCGCTGCATTCCGACTTCAAGATGTGCAATTGGAACGATCCCCGCATGCATTCTGGCTGGGAGCAGACAACATTTGGTCCATGAAGCACGGACACTTTGGTGCACCTTGAACTGCCAGCCAGCAGACCGAAGGGCCGGCGTCGAACATGGATGCAACGGTAGTAACACGGCAGTCCCGACTCATGGACTCGTGTCCTCATGCAATGGCTGCTGCCGTTTAGCCGAGTCATAGAGACGGAGCAGACAGCCTTCCTCACGGACAGGCGAATTGCGGATAATGTGTTCCTCCTACAACTGCTGCCCACGCCTCTCCGTGTGAAGCACCGTACTTGTGTGGCAGCTCTCCTTGACTTCTACAAAGCCTACAATACCCTTGATAGAGATTTTCTGTTCACTTGTCTGTGTGAATTGGGGGCAGGCGTAGGCTTTATTGCGTGGGTTCGACATCTGCATACCAGTACACAATCAGCGGTGATTGTCAATGGTTACCTTTCCTACTGGGTTCTTATGGCGGCTGGCGTCAGGCAAGGCTTGCCCCCATCCTCTACCTCGCGCCGGCATAAGTTTGCATGACATTCACCTCGCAGCATCACAGTATGCAGATGATTGTGGAGCCTTTTTGCTTCACCTAGCAGACATTCCCTGCTTCAAAGCGGTCATGGATGTTTTCCACGCAGCCTTGGGACAACGGCTCAACAATCGCAAGGTTGAGCTTTTGCCGCTTGGCACGTTCATGGCGTGGTGGCGTGCACGCCACCACGTGGTGGCGGACATACCACCAGCGAATGCTATTGGTAACCATTTGGTGATGCCGGTTACTAACCTGACTGAAGTGGCGAATTCTGTGGGAAACTTACAAGTAGCAGACGAGGTTGAACAGCTGCCTGTTGTAGGTTCAGAAGTTGGCGGTTTCAGGGTTTCAGTAGCTACAACCCTAGGGGTTTGCTTTGCAGATAGGCCCTTGCTCGAACAGCAGTCGGTTCCGCTCTCGGCAGTTAGGAATAGCTTGCAGCTAGTCGCTGGGATGCATTTATCAGCTTTTGGTCGAGCTTTTGCGGTATCAGGTTATAGGATTAGTAGAGTCCTGTACCGCTTGGAGGTTATGGGGGCACCTAGCATCACCTCGATGAATAACCTGCTGGGAGACTGTGCAGCCGTTATTGACATGCGTCAGCCGCCATCTGCACGGGACAGTGCTGAGCGAAGACGTGCCCCGGGTGTGGGAGTCATATACATGCCGTTTCCTCCTGCCATTGGGGGTTTTGGTCTTATTCCTCTGCACGAACATCTGGGTGCTCGTTTTGCTTGTCTGTCTTTTCTTGCAATCCTCAGTATGTCTGGTATGTTGGAAACTAACCCCATGTGGACTCGGGTATTACTGGCAATATTACGTCATATCCACCCGGCGATGCACCCGTTATGTCTGCTGGCCATTAGGGGAGGTGTACGAGATGGCCATGTCACTACTGTCTTAGGTAGGCCAGTGCCGAACGATTGCCTGGCATTAACACGGATCCTAACAGCGTTGACTTCCCTACCACAACCTGTCCTTCTGGATGCGGAACATTTAGCTCTGGTTCCTTGGTGTTACCATATCCCACTTTGGGGAAACCCTTTGCTAAATGACGCTCAGTTGGACGAGCAATTTGTTGACCTTCGGAATATGCGTGGGTTGGACACTGTAGGTATTGCCGTACAGTGTTTCATTGCTATGTCGTCTACTTGAAATTTGGTACGCACGGTTGGTGTACAAGGCGTCACTGAGGCGCAACACCTTCAATGTACGAACCATTTTCGTACTATTGTTGTACGGGGGATATTAGGGCTCACTCCGAGGCATCCCCTGCCGGCATCTTGCCAGTCGGGGTGATTGCCATAACGCGTATATCGCAACTTATCGACCGCCTACCCCCGCTATGGGCCATAGTGGCGAGAGTGAATGGCGGAGACCATGAAATACCGCCTCCACAAGAGGCCTGGAAAAGAATAGTCAAGAGCTTGGGTTGGAGGTTTGGTCAAGTGTTAGTGCATTTCTCTCAATTAACAGTCAAGTTTGCGACGACTTTATTTATGGCACCTTCTTTACGCCGGACAACTTGGCCAACACCTTGTTGGACTTCCGTCGGACTCTGTAGCGCATGTGGCGACTTCGGTGGGATAACGAACATAAAGAAGCCCTTTGGCGGCTAGCTCTTGATGGTTTCCCTGCCTTTCTCTATGCATAGGGCGCAACTTCAAAGAGGCGTCCCTTCTGCCGTGTGGTGTGCGCATGGTTTGTGGGAATCGTCGGCATCATTTCTGGGTCTGTACTGTCGAGTTGGCTCTTCATGAAGCTCTGCAGAACGAACTAGAGTTTCCAGACCTTTTTAACCGGGCTAACTTGTGGTTGGGCATTCCACCGACCTCGGTTTATGGGTGTGTGTGGGACGTTGTATGCCTCGCGGCCATCAGCTCACTCAATCTCGGTCGCCGTTTGTTGTTTAGGGAAGGTCTTCATGCCAACATGGCCGTATCTACATCAACCCTTAACCGCATTACTTACAATGTTATCTCTGACTTTTGGGCCCGTTTAACTGCTTTTGCGGCACCGGATTACTTGCCAAAACGTTGGGAACACGTGCCTCACAACCACCCTTTCTTATATGTCAACGATGCAGACATGGTTGTTTGCCGCTTACCGATGTACAATGACGAGGTCTGAGGGCTCACGTCGGAGCCTCATATTTTCGATATGCGCGTACTAACTGAGGCCTTGTGTCCAGTGAAGTTAGAACGGCCTGGCCGAGTTCTTTATGGTTAGGGCCCACAGTGTTGTGCACGAGGCGTTCCTTGGGGTGCTACACTCGACCCGTTCAGGGTCCACTGTAACAATCGCATTCTCATGGATTTGGCGCAGCAGCGGCAACACACGTTGCCGCAATGGCACTCCTGCTTTGTGTGTATGTCATTCTACGGATTGCCGCATCACAAGAAGGCTAACTGTTGAGTCAATAATGATTATGCTTGCAACGATCCAGACAGGTCTACGCCGCCATAGCAAGTCTGCCGACCTTTATTGTTTGAGGATTTCAATAACAAGTGTGTACTCCAAACGTGGCGGCGTTCTTGTGCTTGCACTCCTATGCCGTACGGACTGCCCTGCGAATCGAACGGGGGTCAAGTGGCTGCACTGGGCCGAGCAGTGTTTTTTTTAAGTAATATATTACTTTTAAGGAATAAAGAGGCCTTTTTGGCCTTTGGAAATAAGGAACAAAGTGAGGCCGATCCGTACATTTTCATTCCTTCAGCCAAAAACGTCCATTGCTGCCAGATTGCTCCGTAGTGTGCAGGACTTAGTATTATCGATCATAAAATAGATATGAGGGGCCGTAAGAAGGTCAAGCCCGTGAGTCAACGCGGCATAGCAGAATGTATGACCGGTCCTTCCATAGACAAACACGCAAAAGGCAACGACTTGAACGCCGAACAAACACAAAAGCAGCAAGATAAGTCTGAATTTTTTCCTGATAAAGGCGTTTGGGAC